GAAGTAATAAAAGAGAAGAATATTATTTTGGACTTTGAAAGAGCTAGTATGAATGCTCTTAAAAAGTTTTTTACAAGTTCTAAACTTTACGGCTGCAACTTTCACTTAGGACAAATTGTCTGGAGAAGAGTGCAAAATATGAAGTTTGCGCAAGAATTTATGAGAAATGACGAGGTTAAATTGCATGTCAAGATGATTTTGGCACTCAGCTTTGTTTTGATCGATGATGTATTACTTTTGGCCGCCAGGTTGAACGTTTCTCTTAAAACAGAAAAGTCTTATGATGCATTAAGATTATTTGAATGGTTTAAAGCTGAATATTTGGTGGAAAATGACAGTAACAAATCTATAAGCTTTTGGAATGTATTTGATAGAACTTTAAACGGAATACCAAGGACGACAAATAGCATAGAAGGAATGCATAGGCATTTGAACAGTCTTGTAAAGGTAAAACAAGCATCATTTTTTTTAATATTAAAAGAATTAATAATTGAACAGGAAATAACAGAAAATAAGCTATTACAATCTCTGTATTGTGATTCTACTGTTAATGTTGAAGATAAAATGAAAGAAATTTTTAATAGATATTCTGAGTATTACGGTGTAGAATTTTTGAAGAAAAATGCATTTAACTTCCATTAAAATTAAACTGATTATATAAAACAAAACTTTTTTAGTAAACTTTTTTTTTAGGGTAAAAATTAATAGATGAAATTAAGCCATTTTTCACCGCAGGTGAAAAATGCGTTAAGCCTGTAAACTTTTCTGTGGGTTTTGACGGGGATTAAACGTCAATGTCACGGGGTGGCATAACATGTCTTGGTTGCACATCATTGCCATTGCTGTGAAAAACATTTGCTGTGGGTTGTATCCCGAGATCTATAGTAAGAAATTGCATCTGAAGACTCGCCTTCGAAGGGCACAGCAAGCTAGTGAAGCTCTGGATTGAGCGTGTAGTGGTTAGAATCTATTACGGCCATGAGACCCACATTGCGCGGTCAGATCACACGTTAGTGAAACCCCAATCTGATAGAGCATAATATTCTATGAGTTGTCTACCAATAAATATCTTTATGCGGGGAAATCAAATCTTCCCACTAGCAAGCCCTTTGTGGTATGCTAGCGCCAATAATGTGCAGATATTGAGATTGAGGAAACGGAAGTTTTCTAAGAAAAGGGTTAAGTAGTGTATGGACAAGACAAAAAAAATAAAACAAAGCGTAGAAGAAACAATAAAATCGAGAATTTAAAAGGAAAACATTAATATTGTATTGCAATAGGTAATCTGAAAACTTTGTAATTAATAATCTGACGACCTGAGATTTCTTCATAAAAAGTCAATCAACAAATAAATAAATTGTTATTATTATATGATTCTTTAAGGATGTTTTGGAATCATCGAACTAGCATTGAATCGTGTTATCAGTTTTCTTCTCTTCTGACAATTTTACATAAATTAAGAATTTCTATAACATTGGCCCTATTTACTTCGTAAACTTTTGTTTTTAAAAAAGGAAAGGCTGTTACGCTCAGTATGCGCATTACTTACGCGGAGAAACCTTAAATGGTCTATTTTTAATTATAACTCTTTTAAGATACAAAACCAAATGTAACGATCAATTCCCAGTAAAAATTTTAGGCGACGACTCCCAACACAAAAATAAAAGTTTTTTGAACGTATTTTTAAAAAAGCTATTTGTTTCAGTGCTTAATACATTTAAAAAATGTTGCCTCGAGCAAAGATATTTAACAGTTTCATCTCGGTTAAATCATATAATTCTATAAACAAAAAAAAAAAGAAAAAAGTTATTTCGAAAGTAAGAAAAATTTTTTGTTAAAAAACATAAATTTACTAACTTCCTTAAAATATGAAAATCTTGAAGTTTTTTCATTCCTTTACATTTTATAATATTTAGCCAATTTCCCATACACTCCACCCTGGTTGATATAAATTGTTTTTTATTTTTTTGCCCCCGTTTTTTCTATGTTAAACAATGAGGAGTTAAAACAAAGTTTAGGAATTATTAAAAACGTCTTACTAAAAAAACCCAATAGATAAAGTACGGGTTAAATTGGGAGGAAATTAAAAGAACATAATAATATACACAAACAAAAAGTGTGTAGTAGAGAGATCTTTATTTTATGGTACAGCTTTTTATAACAGAAAGCTTGATCCTCTATTTAAAATAAAGATTCTTAATTTGTGAATGCCTAAGTTAAATCCGATGTATATTGCTAAAATTCTGGGGAGTAGAGTGTAAAACGATTACTGCTGCTTTAAATACTATGATGACACATAATCTATATTTGAATCAAGCACATTTTCTGCCCCCAAGGGGCAGAAAGTGTGTATAATTATTCTTTTAAAAATAGCCTTTAAAATGAAGAATCGCGCGTTCATCACAAATTGATGATCAGCTTTTAAGAAATGGGACTTTTGGTGTTAAAAATATCATTAGTATGTTATAAGCCAAAAGCCTTTTGGCTAATAATTTAATATGTCTTTGTTGCTCTGAAAAAACGAGAGAAAGGAAAAAAAGACGCTTCTGATGGGAAAGGTTTGGGTATGCAACAACATAACATGCTCAAAACACAAAACAAATCTATATATGTTATAATTTTTTTTTCGTACTTTAATTTGAACTTAGCAGATGTTTGGCATTAATTATTATTTGGCTTGAAGATGAGAGTATTACAAAAATTACTCGAAATTATAAGATACACAGAAACACCGTCAGCAATTTTTTTTAAAGATTCAAGAATTGGTCACTACACATCTTCGAGATAAACTGCTACACTTGAGTGCCCAAAGAATAATTTGCTGGATTGATGAATCTTTTTTTCTCGTGGGCAAAAAACCCGTTTGGCGTGTTCCAAACACACAAATTTGGGTCTTTGGCATCATCGATACAGGCTTTAAACCCGAATTTACTACATGCAAATTGTAGAGAATAGATCTGCCGCAACTTCTTTGCCAGTTATTGATAGAATTTGCATGCCGGAAACCATTATACACAGCGACTAGTGGGCAGCATACAGGAACATTGACAACATTTTAGGTTATGAACATTTAACAACAATCATTCAATGCATTTTGTAAATCAAACAAATAATCATAGGCAATATGTTGAATCATATTATGCCAGGCAGAAACTTAAAATCAAAAAAATGAAAGAATGTAAACGTGAACAGTTCAGTTATCTTTATTATTATCCGGATTTGTATGAAAAATATTTTTATCGTAGTACTAAATTGGCTAGATTGATGGGTTTATAATTAAAACTTATCTTTTCCTAAATTATTTAATCTTTTGCTGGTTTTAGAACATGATTATTTTCAACAAAAATGTTTAAATTACAATTTATATAAATACTCTTTATAATCTCTGTATGCATATTGTTTAATAAAAACATTTTTTTTCTTTTTAGCTCTCTTCATCATTTTGATACTTGGGGGAAGAAAATGTGCATGACCACTATTTTTAAGTATTTAAATAAAAAAATGATTTTATGGGGGAAAAAATATGATTGTCAAAATGGATGAAGTTAAATTCGACAAGCGCAACCAAGGACATACAGTCGATGGTGTATGGGCGTTTGGGGTCTTTTCCACGAATTTGCCTACTTTTGTTGCAACTTAAAAATAGATACTAAAAAATAAAAAAAAGATAATAAGTCAAGAAATTAATGGGCACGATAAACTATTAGGCAAATTCGTGAAGTAAAGCAGCCAGCCCGACATTTTTGTGTAAACCGAGAGCGCTTCAAAAAACTTATGTTGTTGTTTTTAATTCCTAAAATATCACTAACCCAATACTAACTAACCAGTTTACCTACCCCTAATATTATCTAACCAAACAACCTACCCCAACTATCTAACCATCATCATTTAAACCCAACCACCCAATCTAACGGTATCTAACCCAATATTACTCAACACAATACACTACCATATATATCTGTATTCATAAATATAAAAAGTTGTTTTGATTTAATAACAAAAGCACATATAAAACCAAACAGCCATCAAAATTATTTGAATAAAATATTAAGCAATTTGTCCAGGCTCTTTACAATTTTGCAAGCGGTGGAAGTATGGTGTATAGATGCACAAAGAAAGGATGCCAAAACGCCTTTTTTATTTCATTCTACTCTGGCCAAAAAATGGGGTCTGACAATTATAAAAAATGTGCTCCGCTGAGATGCGAAATTACTGAGGACTTACCTGCCTCAAAAGTACAGAAAGAT